CCCCCCCCCCCCCCCTTCCAGGTTCCATGGACCGACTCCCAATTCCTGAGGGAAGGGACATTTGTGGCGCCCAACGTGGGGCCTGTGACACGGGGGATCCAGTGAGGAGCTATAACAGAGGAAAAAAGGGGTGGCCACCCGTTTCTGAAACCCTCGATTCAGTGATAGCCTGTCACTGCGAGGTAAGTCATAATGGGACAAGAATTGAGTCGTCATAAAATGTATGTTAGACAATTACAAAAGGCATTAAAGGCGTGAAGGGTAAAGGTTAAAACTACTGATTTGCTTAGGTTTTTTGATTTCATTCGTAATTTGTGTCCTTGGTTTCCTGAAGAAGGCACTATTAATTATAAGAAATGGACCCGTGTAGGGGATGCTTTACATGATTTTTATGAGACTTTTGGCCCTGAGAAGGTGCCTGTAACTGCTTTTTCATACTGGAATTTGATTTGTGAGCTTATACAAAATAAGGAACAAGCGCCCGATATTAGTGAGACTGTGGCTCAGACTGAAAAAATTTTGCGGGCGTCTTCTAAACCCCCATCCCGTGCTTCTTCCCATCCTCAGCCTGCTCAAGAGGTAGATCTAATTTCATTACATGATGAGGACCCCCTCAAGTCTCCCAAAGAGCCTGTAAATAAAGACTCCTCCGATTCTGATTCTTCGGAGATAGATTGGGGTGAGCTTGACGAGGAGGCTGCCAAGTATGAATCAGAAAAGTATGACTCCCCCGTGGTGGTGGCTGCCGTTAAGGCACCCTCACCCCGTCCTCCTCCTTATAATTCCCCTTCAGTTCCGTTCCCTCCTTTTGGGTCTAATCCTTTGACTATATTAGAGACCAAAATCGAACAATTAGAAAAGCAAGTTTTATTGGAAGAGAAGTTACAAACTTTAACTGTCTGCCTGCAAGAATTACAGGCTGGACGTTTAGTTAATTCCCGTCCCCCTGTGCCACAGTGTTCTGCGGCACCTCCTGAGACTCTTACACAGTCCCCCACAGTTTTTCCTGTGCTTGAGTTTGCTCCTACGGTGCCCGGGGGACAGCCTGTTCGGCGCCACACTGTTTTTAGTATCACTTTTTTAAAGGAGCTAAAGGAGGCTGTGTCTAAGTATGGGCCCACTGCTCCATATGTTTTTTTTTTTTTTTTGACCACTGCGGAGACGTGGCTTACTCCGAGTGATTGGACCACCCTGGTCAGGTCCACTTTATCTGGGGGTGATTACTTGTTGTGGAAATCAGAGTATTCTGAAAATTGCAAAGATATTGCTAAAAGAAAGCTCCATATGTTTTAACACTGCTAGAGACCACTGCGGAGACATGGCTTACTCCGAGTGATTGGACCACCCTGGTCAGGTCCACTTTATCTGGGGGTGATTACTTGTTGTAGAAATCAGAGTATTTTGAAAATTACAAAGATATTGCTAAAAGAAATCAAGATGCTGGCAATGCTTGATCTGTAGACATGCCAACAGGTTCAGGTGATCATGGATCCATAGACATCCAAAGAAACTATGACCCAGGGCTTTTTGCTCAAATTCAGACAGCGGCAATGAAGGCTTGGCGCCGTTTGCCACCTAAGGAAAGTTCAAGCGTGTCCCTCACAGGGGTTAAACAGGGTCCTGAGGAGCCTCTTTCTGAGTTTGTCAACCAGTTAATGACTACTGCTGATCGGTTGTTGGGGAATGTAGATGCTAATATAGATTATATTAAACAATTAGCATTTGAAAATGCCAACCCTGCCTGCCAAGCCACCATCC